TCCTGGAAACGCTGGGAACAAAGCGGGAATGCACCCTGGATGGGATGCTAGTCAATTGCAGGACACACACTTATTCCCTCCTAGGTGCAATTTGAAGTACCCAGTGAACCTACCGGCATGTTTTTTTTCCGTAGAAACCCGAAGAACCCAGAGGAAACCCGGAGGATGAAGATACAGGGAGAACATGGGGAAACTCCAGACAGACAAAAACCTGAGCTCAGGACTAGACTCAAGACAGTAGGACATATCTTCTGGTTAATATTAACATGGTTAAGGTTCTACCCTAGTAACTCGAATGTTCTGGAGAACCACTGTCAGGCTCTTAAGCAAGCTCTTTTACCTTTAACTGATCAGCTAAATGCTAAACTGCATTTAGTCTCACTTTCTCTGGATAAAAATGGCTGTAAAATAAATACATGGCATTTACATAATGTAAATAAATGTACATTTTAGCATTTCGTTTCCTGACATTTTAAAGCCGTTTCCTTTTCCTGTTGGTTCTGCAATCTTGTTTATTGTGTTATTTATTCCTGAGAGCTGCAGCAAGCTCGGCAAGCAGCACATCCTTAATCTTTAATCACAATATTTTTGGATTTTCTGATTCCCCCCCCTACGCAAAAATTGCCTGGATTTATTCACCTCATCTGAATTCACCTTCTCAAACCATTTAACACAGTGTTCCAGTCTGACTCACAAATGTCACATCATCCCAAAATGGCCTGCCACTCTGAACGCTCCACACGCCACGTAATTTCAGCCACGTCCGTGTGTCATTAACTGCACTTACTCACCCCAAAACCATTTACACTTTTGCTTTCGAATGTAATAAATATCTTAAATCTTTGACCTGATTTGCACTCAGGCACACAGACTGTCATGCTTACGTTACTGAACCTCGCGTCTCTCTTTTCTCTAAAGCAATCCATTTTACTTCCCAAGCCTTCACACGCATTGACAGGAAAATAATTAAGTTAATCGGTACAACGCTTTAGACGTGCAAACTACTAATTACAGTTTAAATGCAACTCCCAAAATAGAGCTCATCGTCCTCCAGCAGCTGCTTCAGCAACATGAGCTCATGGGCAAATTCAAGAATTCTCAAGAGGCATGTTGTATAAAAAAAGGTTGTAATTGTTCAGATATAAAAATAAAAACACAGACGAAGCTGCTCTTGCTTAATAGGATTCATATGAATTGCATGTTTTATCAGTCTGCCAAATAAAACACTTTTTCCCTCCAAAAACTCTCCAGAATAGTGACATATGAGCTTTTTGTGTAAGCAGTAGAAGAATGTGTGGTGTTTTTTTTTTTTTTTTTTTGCAGATGTTTTAATTGGTCCTCATTGGTCAGATGCTTTTAGAAATAGAAGAGTTGGAATTCTTCATTTGTCTTCCCTTTGTCTTTTATTAAATAATCCATTTCTCTTTTCATACCCATAGCAGCAGCTCAGTTTTCCCCACAACTTCTCACACTCCTGCGAATTTACACTTTAACCTTTCTGAACTCTCTGATCATGACCTCATCACAATGTTGAACTTCTGTCCTACACAACAGACGGCTGAGGTTTAAAGACAACGCTGTCATGACGTGTTCCACATATTCGAGACTACCGGGAACTGAGCTAGTAGCTGATTTTATTATATACTGGACATATAAACATGGGTCATTCATTCATTTAGTCATCCATTCATTCATTTCATCATACACCCCTTCATCTGTCAGTTCATCCATTTATTCATCCATCCATCCATCCATCCATCCAACAATTCCTTCATTCATCCATTCATTTACATTTCATTTGTTAATCTTTAATTCTTCTTCTACTTCTTCTTCTTCATTCATTCATCCATCCATCCATCCATTCATTAATTCATTCAACTGTCCATTCATTCATTTATTGATCCATTCATCCAACAATTCATTCATTCATCCATGCATTTGTTTGTCCATTTGTTAATCCATTTGTCCATCCATCCAACTGTTCAATTCATGTCTGTTCATTTGCTTATTCATCCATCCATCCATCCATCCATTCATTCATCCATTTATTTGTTTGTTAAACCATTCATCCATCCATCCATCCATAGATTCAACAATTCATCCATTCATTCACTCATGCATCCTTCCATTCCTTCATAGATTCATCCATCCATCCATCCACAAGTCCCTCCAATTATTTATTCAATCATTCATTCTTTCTTTCATTTATCCTTCCTTCCTTTCATTCATTCATTCATTCATTCATTCAAACCATTCATCCATCCTTTCAGTCATTCATCCATCCATCCATCAATTCATTCATCCGTTTGTTTGTTTCTGTTCATTCATTCATTCACTGAGTCAGCCTTCTATTCGTTCAGTCACTCACTCATTTACTCACTCACTCACTCACTCACACCAGCCCACTGTTAGAATTTGCGCTCACTCAGCTCACTGCAGTCCCTGTTTTATACTGATACAAAGCAGCTTTAGTGAAAACAAAAACACACAATTCCAATAAACCTGTGCAATAAACAACCTCGTCATTTTCCTCAACCTCCTCTGCCACACACACACACACACACACCATTTTTTCTCTTTATGTAGTGATGAGGAATTACTTATACTTTTCTGCACGAGTTGCCTTGTTCGAAAAAAGAAATCTGTAAAGAACATTGCTTTTGAATAAAGCTATAAATCAGCAGACGAATGAGGAGGAATTTGAGCGGTGAGCAGCTTTTCTGCTGATTTTAGGTGCTATATTATGAGCCTTGTGTGGTGACTCACTGTTGCATCAATGTGCCATTGCAGTGTCTAGACAGGAACTATAGTTCAGCCACTGAAGATGATGATGATGATGATGATGATGATGATGATGGTGATGGTGATGATGATGGTGATGATGGAATATTTGCTATACTTTGCTGTGAGTTGATGCATTTTTAACCCAGAGTGACTGGCTTTCAGATGTGCACTAAGGATTAGCTCCATTTCTACATTTAATTCATTTCAAAAAGCATCCATTTCTAAACCTATCCAAATTTGCATGCATGCACAAAGACAAGAAGTAGGCTGCACGTGCACTGAGAGCCTTTTTTTTTTTCCTCTCCATTTCCTCCACACATTACTGTGCATTATTCTGTTCAGACCTTCTTAATTCCTCTATATGCTGGGATGGGAGTAACAGTAGCACTGCAGCTCGCGCGTCTCTGCATCAGTCCGTGTCCGCATCTGTCTGCTTTACATATCACACAATTCTACACTAACTCGTTCTTTTTTTAAATGCATGATGAATTATACTGCATTGTGAACCGTTCTTCAGTTATCCAGACAGTCCACAGTGTGTCATGCAATGCACCGCTCGCGCCCTTGCGCTTTATCGCTCTCTCAGCCATATCAACGCTACAGAACACGCTCGAGCTCGAACTCAGAATTGTAAAATTTCGTATCCAGATATTTTTGCATGCTCGATCGGATGTGAGTTGAATGCATGAATTAAGGATTTTTAAAAAAGGAAGATTGTACTCACCATCTCGGGCACTGCTGGGGCGCCTGCGATCCCTCTTTTCGCTTTGGGGTCTGATTGTGGTACCCGGGAGAACGCGCGAGTCATGCGTGCGGTTTGCGCACACACGCGCACACACGCACAGTCACTGCGGGGCAGAGCTAGGCAAAGAGCATGCTCTAGCCTACTGTTTGCCTTCCAGTCTTTCCTAAAGCGTGGATCTGATAGGAATTGTGTCCTAAATCATAATATTTAGACTAGTCCACTAAAAGATCCTCCGTGTAAGATAGTATCCAACAGCGCAGTATTCCTCAGACAATTGGTGAAAAATACCCGGATGCTACACTATAAAATCCAAATCCAAAGTCTCCAAACACTGGACACTGGATTTAATGCAACATTTATATCGGTGCAGTATATCAGTGTACGAGGTAACTTAAACATGTCATGCATAAATGAATTCAAAACATATCCAGATCCCTTAGATGAAGAATTGTCTTAAGTTTAGTTACAACCGTTTTAAGAATGTTGACTTTTTCTAATTGACACAGTAAGAAGTTCATCCTCCTTGTCCTTCTGCAGGAAAACCGTGTGTTTATAAACAAAAGTTGTTAAATCTGTTATGTAAAAATAATTGCATTATTAGTTGTGGTAATGTGCAATACATTTTATTATACAAACTTCTGAGCATGAAATAATAATCAGTTCACATCTTATTAGACTTGATTGTCCATGCTAGACCTTTAGGTTACCTTTAAGCGACTTCTGCAGCTTAGCTTTAAGAGCTGTTGGTGTTCAGCTATATATTATGGAAACGCTATATAAATAAATTAGACTATGTGTGAATTTATTTTAAATTTATGCATAATAGTTTGTAGAACAGTAAAAAAAAAAAGTGTTTATTGTACATTATCACTACTACTACTAATAATAATGCAATTATTACCAGATTACACCCACCAGATCTATGTTGCTAGGCATTTCTTTTTACGAATTAAGACTAGTGAATAAACCTTGTACAAGTGTCTAATTTGAGCTTTATTAAACAAATAAGATGTGCTACTTTAGAAAGTATAATCAAAATGCTGCTGAGATGAGGATGTTCAGAGCCACAGAGTTTAGAGGTTGTTGAAGCAAATGACTTAAATGCTATACTAAGTAGCCTCTGGGGCTTTGCAGATGTTCCAATGACCTTCAATATTCTTCCTTAATGAATGGTTCCCAATAAATGTTGCCCTAAATTACACACTTGTACTTTGGGTAGACTACCAAAATAGCACTCCAGTGAGATTACTGGGTCTGCAACCTCGGTATTTATCAGTAGATGAAAAATGCACAAAGTGGTGCCCTGTGATGGACTGGAGTCCCATCGAGGATGTTGTCTTGCCTTGCACTCAGTATCCCTACTATGACCGTGTCCAGGATAAAGTGGTTACTGAAGATGAATGAATGAAAGAAAAAGCTTGAATGCAGCACTAACCTCAAAGGTATGAGTGTTAGCTTGTCTGCATGAAGAACCAGGGTGGCTGAGTGGTTAAGGCAGTGGGCTTAGTCTCCAATGGAGGAATGACCTTGTGTGTTCAAAGCCCACTCCTGGTAGGATCCAGGTCATAGGTTGCCCTGGTTAAAAGGTGTGCCATTGTCTTGCCTTACAACAGAGATCTTCCATGTGGCTGGAGGATTTCATTTCAGCCAAACTGGAAGCACACTTCATAGTTGATTGAAGATTAATTGATTAAACACGTGAAATCAGGTGTGGATCCTGCTTGGTTGAAATGAAAGCCTGCAGCCACACTGGTCCTTTGTGGGTAAGATTGAAGACCCCAGCCTTACAATTCCAAGGCCCCACCAGGGAACATCAGGGGTTCTTAACTCTAGTCATCAGGACTGTCTGCCCTGCCAAGTTGTAGTTCTCCCTACCCTTAACACACCTGGCATGATGGTAGAGTGATTCAGGTATTGAACTTAATATCAATTGGACCATTATCCTGACCCATTCTTGTTTGGTCACCTTGTACAAAGGTCCTGGTAAGGTCATTGTACCATCCAACCATTGTTTAACCCTTGAGCAAGGCCTCTTCATCAACTGTTCTAGGGTCAGGTAGATACCCAAGATGGTTTCCCTGTACTTCCTTTTGTGTAGGAAATATTTGTTTATTCTTTCACTAGCACCTACTGTTCTCCTGGCATAGACAGTATGATTTGCAGTATATGTATGCAAACCACTTTCTTTATCATCCATTGTGTTACTTCATGGTAATATTTCTTGCTGTATCTTACACACAAACAAACACAGGGCAAGGTCTATCAGGGCCTTGGAATTGTAGGGCAATGGCACCCCTTTTAACCATGACAACCTAAAACCTTGACCCTACCAGGAGTGGGGTTTGAACCCACAAGGACATTTGCTCAGTGGAGCTTAAGTTCAAAGCCTTAACCACACAGCAGGAAGTGGGAATACGCCCTGGATGAACGCTGGGCACCATGTACACAAGTTCACGCACTCATTCACTCCTTGGGGCAATTTAGTATAGCCAATCTACCTACCAGCATGTTTTTGGGAGGAAACCAGAGCACCTGGAGGTAACTAGGAGAACACGCAAAACTCCACCCAGCCCCATGCTCAGGATCAAACCCTTGAGCCATGAGGCAGCAGTGCTTCCCTCTGTGCTGCACAAGTATGAAATATGAAAAGCAAACACTTATCTAAGTGAAATTCCATTTCTAAAATGGAATACTGGGGCTTAAGTAGTCTGAAACAGTGTGTGTGGTTTGTAGTGCTGGATCTGCTTGGCCTGTCTCTGATTCTCTGCCTATAGATGTTCCAGGAGAAACAAATGGCTACTTAATAGAAACCTTTCATATAAACTGTGTCCTAAAATCGAATAACTGTGCTGCTAAATGCTTTAGGTAAGTCCTAGTAAGTAAGCCAATAGAAGAGCATGTTCCTCCATTTAGAAGAAAGCCAGGTGGTAACTAGGATGGCTGAGTGGTTAAAGTGTTGGACTTAAACTCCACTAGACAGATGTTCTTGTGGGTTCAAACCCCACTCCTGGTAAGACCTTAGCTTTCTTTATCATGGTGGCTTAGCAGAGGCATGTCATTAGATCTGTTCAGCCTCAATTGCTATGGAAGGCCCTGGTCCTCTTGTGTGTGTGAGAAATGGCAGTCAGGAAGAATCTATTAAATTCAAAAATGGAGGGCAAGAACATAATTGCACTATTTGCCAATGTAGTACACAGTTATAGAAAGGATTTATTTATAATTGCACTATCCATTGTAACCCAGATGAGGATGGGTTCCCTTTTGAGTCTGGTTCCTCCCAAGGTTTCTTCCTCATATTGTCTCAGGGAGTTTTTCCTTGCCACCGTCACCTCTTGCTTGCTTATTGGGGATAAATTCAGACACATAAAATTTATGTCTTGAATGTATTTATTTCTGTAAAGCTGCTTTATGAGAATGTCCATTATTAAAAGTGTTATACAAATAAAATTGAATTGAATTGATCTGAATTGAACATAGTAGCTGGCCAATAATAGTTTTGGTAAGAGGGGTGGTGTTCTCCTGTCCTACAATCTGTAGGCACTTGAGCTATGTCCTTTCACACTTAACTGCATGGACCTAGGGTTGATGCCCAAGAGGCTGATCCTTCACTTCCTTGTGTGTGAGATAAGGCAAGGGAATGCAAAAAAAAAGCAAGGGATAAATAATAAACAAATAATCTAATCTCTAAAAAAAAAAAGGAGAATATGAATATAGTGGGCTGAGAAGTCTGGCTTGGTGTGTAGTTCTGGTTTTACTAGAGCAGCCAATGAGAGAATGACACTCCATTAGAGCACTGCATTTTGTCAACCCTGCTCTCGTACTCAGTTGATTGCTTTATTGATTTTATTTACAAGAAACATAAAGTTGCAGTAGGCTTTGAGCACATGAATGATGTGAAATGGGATTTCTGGCCATGCAAGGCATTGCACTGTATGTGTTATTGCAACACTCTGGGGATTGTTGTATATGATTTTGTGCTAATTTTTAATTCCTTGCATAAAGAGACCTACATAAATCAGTAAAAATGTCCAGGTTTGAAAGATATTGACCCAAACTTTGTTATGAGCCTGTTCTGTTCAGCTACATTTAATGATATGGACATATAAATTATGAAAATGATGAAATCCTACTGTTTATGATGCCTTCTGTACTTTGTCACTTAAGCCTTGAGTTTCCTAATTATTGATAAAAGGAAGTGTTGAAGTTTTGTGGAATGTTTTATGGAACTTTTAGTGGCAGGTGAACTTCTACAGAACCTCTGTGAAAAGATGTGGAGGCAGGATAGACCCCAAACAGAACCTAAAATCTATGCATTGATTTTGGGGTTCGAAATGCACTCAGCTACTTCAGCACCACGGACAGAGACCCAGCATTGGTTGCTTCAAAAATGGATTTTGAGATCTTCCATCTGTCACATCTCTTTGTCCTGAAAGGTGATGAAAGTGTTTAAAATTCCTATTAGTGAACTTTACAGGTTATGGAAAAGACAGTAGTTAGCTTGTTGGATATGACATTGTAATCAGCAGTGGTAGATTCCCAACCCTGATCCTGAGTCTATCGCTGGAATCTACCACAGTGAAGTTTTCCCTGTCCTACACATTTTTGTGTTTTTCCTGCTGTAATACACCCATTTCACCCCAGAAAAGGCTGTTTAGTTTAATCTGGTGTGTTGGCAGCAATGAAAGCACTAAAATATTTTTAGTCCAAAAAGACACAGTGCTTATCCGTTTTTATGCCAGAGGATGGTTCAGTTCTTGAATCTGATTGGTCAGAAGGTGCTGATTAATTTTCTGTAACAGCAGCTCTGATAGTCCAGTGCTCATGGCAAACTCTCTAAATACTCTAAGACTAATAATAAATAGATTACAAAGTATTAAGTGTAAAGTTATTTAACAAACGGTAACGTGTAATCTGTGATATGGGGAAATTTTCTAAAAGGTGACATTTATTTAAAATTTATGGAAGGAATCTCCATTGTCAGTGCTGAGTGGATGTTCTGTAACATTAAAAATAACTATAAATGGATGAAAAGTATAACATCTTTGTTTAAAAAAAAAAATTAATCATTGGCAAATTACTGTATTATTATTATAGGAGGAATAAACCATTTGTAGATGTGCTTTATATGTGCGTGTGTGTATATATATTTACAGTATATATATATATGTGTGTGTGTGTAAATTTAATTGAAAAGTATTCATTAATTAAATTTATTAATTAAATGTACAGACTCAGTGCTCTTTGGTTTCAAGTATATTTACAAAAGACTATGGAAGCCATGGTTTAGGGGAAATAGGGGACTTCTATTTCATTATCATCTATTCTAATCTCTTTTATGCCTTTTAGGCATGATTGGATTCCATCTTAGTCCAACACATTAGAATTATCAGGTAAGGGAAGTGAAAGAGAGAGAGAGAATGAAGACAGAATGAAAAACAGCCCCTTTCCAGTATATAATACATAATATATAAAATGAATAGCTCTACTTCAGCGGGTTGGACTGTAGGTCATTAAACATAGTGAAAGATGTGGTGCATTTTTGCTCTGCGGCTTTCCACCTCCCCATTGAGATGAACTACGCTTCAACTTCCGCTGTGCGCACCAAGCTGAGAAGGCACAGTGAGCTCCTCCAAGGCTGCTGAGCACACACGGGGGTGTCAAGTGCCCTATAATACCTGCAGGGCATCCAGCGCAAGAAGCAGCAGAATCCAGGGTGATACTGCTCTAGAAAAAGACTGGACCTGTATTCCATACAGGCTGTACGTACTCTAGACTGTTCCTTAAAAAACAAATGAATGCGAAGATCAAATTCTTAAGCAGGAATGTGAAATCAAGATCACCAAAGCAAACAAACTTGAGGATTATTATATGTGGCTTGCACTTAAAAAAGAAAAAAAAAACTCAAATCAATAGCTGCTGAACTGTTTCCATGGCAAAAAAAAAGATTATTTCAAGCCGTTGGCAGAGCCAGCAGGAGCCTTGCGCGGCTCTCAAAGAGCTGGTCGAGGCTCTCGGCCGGAAGAGAGGGCCACTCCTCACTAATAACCGCCCCCAGACTAACTAAACACAACATCCTCAGCAACAAACAAAGGGCCTTGGCATATCAAAGTGCATTAAAGAGAGAGCACATTCGAAGCTCCCAAAAATACATCTGTCCTGTTTAGAATGGAATGAAGCCCCGGATGCCCAGTGAGTATGCTTTAATGTTTCCCACCATTATTTTCCAGCTCAATCGGTTTGCAAATGATTAGACGTCTTCAATGGAGTGCTTCAATTAGGGCCCGAGTGGGCCGGATCGCCATGGTGATGAGCCTGTGATGCAGACAGCGAAGGATGCTTGAAGCGCCGGGCAGCACAACTCTGTATTGACAGAGCCCTTGGGGGGGTGGATGGCCTCTCAACATACCATCAACCCCCACTCTCATTAAAGATGAGAAGAAGGGGGTGCAGTTGATGGAGCATCAACTGCTATGCCCGCTCCACCCCCACATGTGAGAGAATGTCAAAGTCATAAAACAAGATATATATGAGTCATATGAATCATTCGGCTTTCTCTATAGGAGGACGTTTGAAATGTAGGCTGTATGGTGCATAGCTGCGATTTACAGGTTGTAGTGTGGATTAGGAACAACACAAGCAGACAGATGGAAGCCGTCATACGGTATACTGATTTGAATAATAATAATAGTAAGAAGAAATGGGGAACATTTTCTCCATTTTCTCCCCAATTTGCTCATCCGACAATTCCCACCCAACCAGCCAACTCTCCTCTGTCATACAACCGTGGAGCCTGACGGCTAACACGTGCTTCCTCCGAGACACGTGAAGCCAGTTTTCGAACTGCTTCTCACGTAGCATCACACGACAGCGTGACACACTCAGAGGAAAGCATTATCCGCCCTCTTCTGAATACATGAGCTCACAGATGCCCACGATTGGCTAGTGTCACTGTGACTGACAGAGGAGAGAGGGTATGCCACTCCTCCCACCCAGACAGCACAGCCAATTTTGCTTCCTTAATTAGCTCCTGGCCATAGACAGATGTGGATCAGTGGAATTTGATGTACACCGTTAATGAAGCAATACATACATACATACATATATATATATATATATATATATATATATATATATATATATATATATATATAAAGAAAATATTTTTCGTTTTAAAATCAGTGACAGATGGAGCCAGATGAATGTTTATTTGTATTACAGGCTATTATAGGCTAGCACTATATGATCTTAAGATCTTAAGACATGATTTCGAACATCGCTTTTTAGGCATTCAAAGATATATGAAGATGCTACACAATTAAGAGGTTTTAAATAACTTTTATGCATTTTTTTGAGTATATTCTAAAGGACACGGGTGGCCGGTGGCGGAATGCTAAAATCTTAAGTCATGTAACTAGAATCTAAAAAAAAAAGGCACTAAACAGAACCTTGTCATGGAGGCGTACCTCAAGAGTAGGTATTTAGACCTACAGTGACTGCAGTGTACCTTTAAATCTATACAAAATACGACTACAAAATATATACAGTGAGCGCTGGCTCAAAGAAACGCTAGCACAAATATCATCCCAAAAGCCACAAACATCATGTCACATAGTGTTCAAACCCGACACTTCCAGGCTGCAGTCGCTGTAATTTGTCTGTTTCATTTTGTTCCATTTGTTTCTGTCAAGCACATTCAGAAGCTGTCTGGCACTGAGGCGAGCTGTTGGAGGAGGATGACTTTATAGAAAAGCTCTTTTTTTTTGCCGTAATTACAGGCTGTCTGAGTGGAGAGAGGAGCCACAGGAGTGACACATGTCACTCTGCGTTCTCTTTCTTTCCAGAGAAGGAAAATTGGTTCCACACTCCAGGCGAATGTCTGCATTAAAGAAAGGAAAGATAAGAGAGAGGAAGATGATAGAAATGAGAGAGGGGATCAAATTAAGTGAGAGTTTGGTATTTGATACTACAGCTCTTAGGGGTGATGCTAGATTAAGAAGCTAACCTGATAAAATA